CAGAACTCGCATCACACGGCCTCAAGTTATGAAATGAACGCCCGATAATGGCCAATTCTCAAATTAGTTAAGTAATGTACTATTTCGTGGTGCATAGGATTCCATACTATAACATATCTTCGGGTACTCGGGTATCGAAAATGAAAGTACAAAAAATCACAGTTTTTTTGTCATCTAGCACCGGATAACGGAACAAACAAAATACAGTATATACAATTACAAACAGCATCACAAATTCTGACACATTTAAAATTTCCGATTTTTATGGACGAAAATATTCTAGTAGATAAGTCTCAAGATCAAGGCAGAGCTTAGATAACAATCAGCTATGAAACTCTCCTGTCACTGTCAAAAACGGCAGCCATCTCAGCGGAGAAAGTCGAATGTAAATTCCTCCGGTATAACGATGAAAGAAGTCTTATGGTCGTATCGTCAGTCGTTCCTACAATTGTAGGACGCCTTTATGGCCTCCTTGATTTTCATTGTTTTCTACTGTGGCTTCTACAGGCAGCAGCGTTGGCCGCAGTAGTAGACTTCGGTCTCCTGATCAGTCGCCGTGAGCTGTGCGGGTTCAAGTCCCGTCCCAGGAGAAATTTTTCTCTTGGCTATGGATGTTGTGATTGTCCGTAGGTGGTAGACGGTCTCTAACTGTCGAACGCGGAGGTACCACCCGGCGGATCTCGTAGGCGGAGCCAGAATGTGTGCATGTTGCATGCACACGTGTTCCCTCGCCAGAGTCCGTGTGGCGTTCCCCCTTTCCCATGTATCCCCTTATAGCCCCACGGTACCCAATGGGTGCTTAGGCCTTAGGCCTTCGTGGTAGTTGGAGTATAAAAAAAAACTGTTCCATGTCAGCGCTTTATTTTGAGGTTATGTTACAAATATCTTTTTGCATCAAATTGTTCATGCTTTTGATTTATATCACCTGTTTTATAAGCCTGAAATTTCCTACAATTCAAAAAGAAAACATAGGAGAGCGCTGACACGGAATAGTAGAAATCTAGAAATACCTCAGCCTTTCTGTAGGAAAGAAGATACTTTGAAAATCAAGGAGGCCATAAAGGCGTCCTTTAATTGTAGAAACGACCCTAAGGGTCTCGTGAAACAGTATTTCGACTTTAAATAACTCACAGGGTGAAAAGACGTGGCACGCTTTCGATCTCGCTTTGGTGACTTTTGTGTTGAATAGGGAGTGAGAAGTGAACCAGAGAGAGTCGTGGACCGTTCACACGGTCACGATTCAGTTTTTTTCATGAAGCTGGTCAGTTTCCTATTGATAGTCATACTGCTTTGAGGTCAAGGTCAAATGGCAGCCGTTTTTTGGCACTGACAGAAGAGTTTCATAGCTGATTGTTATCGAAGTTGTGTAATCATTGCATTTCGACCAAACAGGAACCTCAGTCCGTGCCATGCACAATACGTTATCTACTGTAATGTTTCCGTCAAAAATAATAAGGAGGGTTAAATGAGTTCAGCTTTTGAGGTTAGTGCAGCCGATGGTATGATCAATTCTATTTAAGCTAGTCTAACTCCTAACTTGGTGTTTTTACCAGTGAGATGAACCATTGTTGTTCAAGGTATTTACATTTTAAAAACGAAACTCAAACGAATATTATAGTAAGAGTCTAGGACAAGATTTACAAATGAACTATATAATGTGAATAGTATATCTTACACACATTTATCACAAAAAACTGTTCTGTAGATCATACAAGAAATATTTTTTTCAAAGTTAGCTTTAGCGTCAAACTAACGCCAAAGTAGTTTAAACTATACAGTGGTTTTCAAAAATGTCCCCCCTCAACTTATCAGTTGAACAGGTCAAGGTAACGAGCTGAAATTGGTAGAAATAAAAATGATATTCCAGAGAAAAAGTGGCACTTGAAAATTTTCAAAGAAAACAGGAGGTCACATAATGCCTTATTTTGAAGCTTGTTATCAGTACTTTATGAACCTAGAGTACAACTTTACTAACTTTCCAAATAGTCGACTGGCGTTGAGCCTTTTTGTACGTATTACTTAAAACTCCACAACTAATCATCAAAATGCTATATTATTATATATCAATCATCCACTATTGAAAGGGTTTATTTGAATGTATAACAAAATATGAGATATTCCATTCAAAATATTGACAAAGTTCGACAATATTTTCTACGTGGAATGTTTTATATTTTATTACACATTCGGATAGTTCCTTACCGTTCAAGAAGACTGATGACTGGTTGTTGAGTTATAAGTCATTTTGTTTGTTTGTTTAAGATTTATTTAGCATGATTGCTACAATTACATTCCTTTTGAAAAACTGCAACAATTACATAACTTGCAGATATTTAGGAAAACAAATAATATTCTTTTAATTCTCTTTTACACGTCTTTAAATTATAAGTAGCCTTTTTTGATTTTTTATTTTTAATATCAAAATAAGAATATGATGTGAGATTTTTAATATTCAACCACTGAAATTCTTGTAGCATATATTTTATTTTGGTGTACTTATTTTTATCCAGTATTATTCTCATAGCTTTATTATGCAGAACTTGTGATTTTCAGAACACAGTTTCGTTGTCAGAACAAGATAGTTAAACAATATAATAAATGCGGTAGAAAAAATGCATTATAAACTATTTTTTGAAATATGTACTAAGGCCATGAAAAGCCATTTTCAAATTCTCAACTGCCTCTTTTATGCTGAAATATAGTATTCATAAATCAATATCACCCCCGGAATTCAGATTGTTAACTTGAACAGTTCAAAAAATAAGTGGCACTGTATGCTTTGTTATTCTGAGTAAATACAATTTTATTAATTCAAAGATCCAACCATTCATCTCAAATCACAATGAATTGGACAAAATCTTACGCAAGTTTCAATGTAATACTTTTACATAAAAAACGCACAAACAATGTATGATATTAACATATATGACATATCCTCCAATAAAATTCATAGCTTACCTCAGTTCATCTGAGGATTAATCAATGATCCCTTTGGTAATCACCTAAATACCTATTTATATAACATTATAAATCTGTTGATATTTGTAGCATACAACGTGTGCCAAAATCGTGTATATCTGCCAGATTCACGTAGAATACAGAAAAAATGTGAGAAATCCTTTTATAAAATGTATCAAGAAGCAACCCTGGGAGAAACAGGTCCCCAAAGGACGGTACTGGAAATAGGTTTTCCTCGAATAAATTTTGAACGGCGTAGTGTTATATACGTAGCGAATATAAAAATAAAAGTTACGTTGGTTTTACACACAACCTCAGTTGGCTCAGTTTATTGCACGTGATTTTAACTGAGGTAAAATATCTTTTTCCCCACTTATCCCAACTGTATTAACAATACCCGTTTTACATTGACAATAAATACATGAATTTCTACATCTTCATGGTCAAATTTCAAATGTATACGGCAGGAATTTGACGTCAAATGAATTCATGAACTTGTTCGTGGATGTTTTCATGCAATAAGATCCTGTTCTAATATACAATTTTGTGCCAAGTTGAACGTAAACTCCATGGTGCCAATATTATTCTCCTTTCCATTATAATAAACATCTTTTCAAGTATAGAATTTCGAAAGAACTACATCATTCAACAGTTTGTTAGATATGTTTCAAAATAAAAACCACAATGAATATTAAATCTCAAAGAATGTTTCTAGCAAGAATTTGTTGAGTGGTCGGCACTGTCAGATAATCTATGAATTTGTTCATCGATGGAAATACTGCAAAATCACCATGACCTCGAAGAAATTCGCCTGAATAAGTTCGTGGAGAAATGGTTGACGTAAAAAGGGTACAACAAACCCCCCTCAGCTGAGAAAGATTTGCACTCACGTGCAGTTTTTAGGTTAAATGTATTTTGCTTATGTGCAAAATCCACAGAAAAAATGTTTACTTTTTAGAAGTGTCCAAATAGTTTTCGAGATACATATTTTTTTAAAGTCCCAATGTATTATTTGTACCATGATTCTAAAACATATTTATCAAGTTGCTTTGGATATCTGAGTAGCGTTGCTATGGTTTCTAATGTTTCTCATAATATTGCTTTAAACTTCATGAATAATTTTAAGTTGGCAATACATTGTTAAACATCATGGAGTATACGCTTTAAAAGCACGAAGATGTACGCTACAGATTCCCTAATAGACACCTGCCTAATTCAAAGACTTTTAAACAAATCGATCAGCGGTTACGTGAAACTGGTAAGAAATGATTATAGCCTTATTTTGAGTAGTAAAAACCATTTGGACTTTAGGTAGTTTTGCTCAAAATATGGGCCTACATAGTGGAGCTCCCAGAACTGTACATACAGCTGAAGTTGAAGAAAATGTGTTAGATGCTGTACTTTGAATATCCTACAGTTGGAGTTAGGAATGCAGCTCGAGAATTTCAAGTTAGTAAATACCATTTTTCAAGAGCAACTGGTCCATCCATACCACCTGCAAAAAGTACATGGTTTGAGCGTGGATAATGAACCCGCAAGGATAGAATATTGTACATGGTTCTTAAGGAAGTTTAACCACGACAATGGTTTTACTTCGTTAACGTTATTTTCGGACAAAGCAGGATTTGGAAGGGGTGGACCCATTAACTCGTATAATCTTCACATTTATGCAGACGAAAATCCTCATGCAATAATAAAAACCCGCCACCAAGTACAATTTCAAATTAATTTATGGGCAGGAATAATTGGACAATATTTAATAGGACTCCTTGAGTTACCACCTAGACTAAATGGCCAAAGGTATGTACAATTTTGAAGAACAATTACCCACTCTGATGGAAGATCTTCCATTACAAACAAGCAAGAATATGTGGTTTATACACGACGGCGCTCCACATCATTTTAGTATTTTAGTTAGAGAACCCCTAAATAGAGTTTATCCAGACCAGTGGATAGAACGATCAGGACCTGTATCGTGGCCGGCTAGATCACCAGATTGAAATCCTATGGATTTCTACTTCTGGGGTGATTTAAAACGACCCGAATACGCCAGTGGAAACTGTAGATGATCTTCGACAAAGAGTTTTCCACAGACAGGAAATGAAAAATAACATCCAAATGCTATGGAGAGTGCACCTCGAGCTCTTAGTGTGTTAGGCAAGATGGTGCTCATTTTGAACAATTTTTGTAGCTATTATTTCCGTTTATTAGTTTTGCTGCCATCCTCATTTGTTATTGTGAAAAACCATAGCAACACTACTCAGATATTATCCAAAGCAACTTGATTATTATATTATAAAAATATTTTATCATCAAGTTACAAATTATGCATTGGAACTTTTAAAAACAAATATCTTCTAAGAAGTAAACGTTGTCTGTTGTGGAAACACGAGAAAACAAGATTTTTCGGTCAGTTGTTGTATACAGGGTAGCACAAAAAAGTTATGATAAGTTATTTATCGAAATAGTGCTGTAAGTGGCGATCTCTAGAAGTTTGGCCATAAAAAATAACGGAATCTTGTTTCTCATACTGGAAAACCTCTCTATACCGAGCTTTAGGCCAAAATCTGAAATACTTCTCAAGCAATAAGGAAAAATAAAAAATAAAATTGTCACTTTGACACCCTGTATCTCGCAAACTATCAAATGCGCGGTGGTTTGGACTAGTGACTAGCTAGAACACAAGTTGACGTTTTTACTGACATTATATCGATTTTTTAGGTAGTACCCCTGCTGATCATTTTGTTATTCAAGAGAAACCTAAGCTCAGTGGTGTTTTCAGGGGGTCTATATCTCTGTAAAGGAGCACTGTAAGATATTTTTCATAGGATCATGGCACATTTTTTGTATTCTATGAGAATCTGTGGCGTTGATCACACATTCTGGAACACCCTCTACAGAGCTTTATAATACATATCAGCTATAAACATGCCGCATTTTGATTTTCCTTAAAAATATGTCAGTCAACTACGGCCTAGAGCCTGTTATAATTCTAAATACTCTAATATCCACATTTACTTTCGACAATGGTCAAAAATGATAAATAAATTGACATCGCTTATGTAACACCAAATTTAGTTCGCTATTACACGAATATTTCGAATCATCCAAAACCCATATAAAAATATACTTTCTCTAAGTATGCGCCTCAATTATACACAAGGCTCTAAATTGATTGTTCTATGCAGCTGATCATACAATAGCAGTTAATATAATTAGATTCAAGAAAACGTATGTGACTAATCATTTCTTTGAACAACAGTGGTTGAAAACCAGAATAATAGATACTTTTGGAAATCACAAATACCGCATACGTAAAGGTCGATTTATGAACTCAAAATTGTATTATTTTTAACATATTTGAAGATCAGATTTGACTGCAGATCATTCTGGTTGATGGACGACAGGTGTTATAGTCTAATCATATTAGACGAAAATACCGCTGGTTAGCGAAATAATTGTAAAGTCTGGTTTTATTGCTGCAAGTTATTCAAGGGGGTTATTTAAAACATGGACGCATAAAATGGTTACACCAATTTTTGTGGGAAAACTTTTTATCCGACAAGAAAGAATGAGAAAACGTGTTTTTTGAGACTCAATCGAAAGTGTTGGCAGGAACGAAAAAACTCTTCATAGAAGATTTTTAGGTATTTATGAGACCTACAGAATGAAACCACATGTAAAAAGATCCGACTCATAGCAAAAAAAGTTATGGCCGAAAACCGAGGCAAACTGCAGGTTTTGGCACTTGGTAATGCGCCGATGGTTTCTCGCAGAAGCTTGAAATTCTTCAAATTCGTAGCATTCGTACTTCTAAATAACCACAACAAAATTGGAGTAGATTGGTCAAGTAGTTTTTTGAGAATTTCTAATTGTTTATCCCAAAACACCTGTTTTCCGGCCATCGCTACTAGTTTATTGGGCAATATACAGGGTTCGTTAATAGAGCATTTAACAGCAAAATACACGTGTTTACCTTGCCGATATGAGACACAACCCATTCCTAAAGATAAATGTTATTTTTATGTGAAAAGCAAAGGTTACGTTTTTTACTTCTAAACAAATTCAAACATTTCGTATTTGTAATTCGCAACACATTCGCTTTGTTTTAAACTGGCAACGGACGGTGAGCGATAATATAATATATATATTCTATCCTCCACATTACAGAAATATCGCTCCATGTGTAAACCTATTGAGACGATATATTACGTATCTATCGGGATATGCTTACCGAGCGATATTTGCGCTATATCTATTCCCCTCTTGCGTCGCGTCACCCGAAAATACCAACGAACCGTTCTTGCTGGCAGCCGGCTTGGCGGGATGTTGCTATTTTATTATTTGTTCTTGCACTTCGGAATTCGCAATAGACACAATGGAGTATTTTATTGAAAGTGTAAGAAAACATCCATGTTTATGGAAGGTAGATTCGATCGAGTATGAAAATAATTAGATTAAAGAAGCAGCTGATTGCGATATATCCGACGGTATGAACTTCTAAATATTTATTTTTATATAATAATATTTTATTCACTCAATGTACAAAGATAACAAACAATATGAGTAAATAAATACAAAATCAAAACAGGCCCAATAGAAGGCATCGCCTGTACATGGACCAATAATTCAAGTTGAAACTGTAGAATGCAAATGACAAAAAAGGACAAATATTAGCTACAGTAGATTATGTATTTAGTTGATGTTCGTATTTATGAGTTTATGAATTTCAGTCCTAGATATAGAATGTAGCCACTTTTTTAAATTTCTTTTGAAACAATTTCCGAAACGTAAATCTTTTAAGTCTTTAGGTATAATATACATAGGTAGTTTGAAAGGGAAACCCAAGAGGGGTTTTAGGATTTAGACAAGCGCGGCAGATTAACATATGGGGAATACCTTGTTAATTAAATACACTGTGTACAGCACAGATCAGCAGATCAGCCTATGCACAGAAATGCTGAAAAATCGGTAGGTTCGGCACCACTGCTAGAAAAATATGAAAATATATATTCTGTAGTCCGTTGCAGTCATAATATAATATAATATTATAGCGTATCGTACGACTATAATATATATTATATTATCGCCCACCGTCCGTTGAAGCTTTAAAATGTGTACAGTAGCAAAAGTTTTTCGAATATCGTAGCGCATTTGTTCAATTACTTACAAAATTGTTTAGAGGAAAAAAAAACGTAACCTTTGTTTTTTGCATAAAAATAACGTTTATCTTTCGGAATGGTTTGATAAACAATTAGAAATTCTGAGAAACTACTCCACCAATCTGCTCCAATTTTGCTGTGGTTATTCAGAAGTACCAATGCTACGAATTTGAAAAATTTCAAATATCTGCGAGAAACCATCGTCGCATTACCAACAAGTGCCAAAATCTGCATTTCGCCTCGGTTTTCTACCATAACTTTTTTGCTGTTAGTCGGATCTGTTTACATGTGGTCTCATTTTGTAGGTCTCATAAATACCTAAAAATCCTATATAAAGAGTTTTTTCGTTCCTGCCGACACTTTCGATTGAATCCCGAAAAACCCCGTTTTCTCATTCTTTGTTGTCGAATAAAAAGTTTTGTCACAAAAATTGGAGTACTCATTTTATGCGTCCATGTTTTGAATACCCCTTTGGACAACTTGAATCAATAAAACCAGGCTTACCAATTATTTCGCAAACCAGGGGCATTTTCGTCTAATATGATTAGACGTTTCAGTCTCGTCAAGTACAATTGACATTTTTTACAATATATTTTGTTTATTTGACTTCTAGGTGACACTTCGTTTGTTTTTTATTCCATTTACACATTCCTATACACTATGTTATTACTAAATTATTTATAACTATTTTTCAAGGATGATGCAGTTTATCCTCAATTTCACTTGTACTTTCGGGTATGGAAAGAGAATCATACATTTCATAACCTACTGTCAACGTCAGGAGAATGAAAGTTAGTTTACTAGCATTTGACGAAAGTCTCACATCCATGACAAAGGTATAGTCACATTCTGCAACACTGTGCGTCACGCTGAAAAACAATAACGTCACAGTTTTGTTGCGAATTTTTACTAGTGAACAGTCAAAACATTTACATTTCGATATGAAAATTTTGTAAAACGAGTGTCACTTTGTAAACAGTCAATCACAAGTCACATACGTTTCTTTCAGTTACTCATCGCGTAACCATCTTGGTAATTCACTTCCCCCTACCTTACTTCACAAGACCTACAGAACAGTTTGTTGTGCCTCAGTACGAACTTACGCACTATTCCGTTTTACGATAAATACTTGTACAATTCTTTTCCGCCTACATAATCGGATACGCGTGAGCTGTCAAGCAATGTGTCATCCTCAAAGGGACCTTTAACGCCCTGCTATTCTCTTTTCTCGAATAGTGATTTCCTTTACGTTCAGTTAGTTTCCATTAGCGTTTCTTGTGGCTATGATGGTATTCCTGTTGTTGGAATCTGTGCCGTATATCTTGCCAGCTTTCTTCGCCATTGAACCAAGTAGCTCTTGCGATAACTTGTGAGCCGATTTCAGAGACGTCAGCCACTCTTTTAGGCCGATTTCATCCTGCAACGAAATAATGTATGTTAAGGTGCATACGTTACAAGTTTTTTACGTTTTCGTACGTTCGACTATTTTGTTCACTACAAATGAAACTGTGTTCTCAATATCACAAAATAAAGCTAGAAGAATCATCTTAAATAAACATAAATATACTACAAGGCCTGTCGCAAAGTAAACAGGACTTTTGAAAGATATCCGGTTCGAGTAGCGTCATCTATTATCGGAGACTGACGTTGGTTAGGTCGATCGATGCCCTGTCAAAAGCTATCACGCTCAAAGTGACAGTGCCTTTTTAGCATCGGTCGAAAAATGGGATCGAACAAAGAGCCAAAATTAGGTTCTGTGTTAAACTTGGTAAAACATTTACCGAAACGCATCAGATGTTGATGCAAGTGTATGGTGATGATTGTTTATCTCGGAGCCGAGCCCACAAGAGATTTACAAGGTTCAAAGACGAACATGTTGGCCAGCTAAAATTACGTCAGAAACCGTCGAAAAAGTGCGTGAATGTATCAAAAATGATCCAAAATCCGCTTTAAGATACACAGAAATAGAATTAAATATCTCTAAAGATTCAATCCATCGCATTTTGACCAAGAATTTGGGCATGTGAACCAACCATAAACCACTCCCCATATTCTCCTGATATGGTACCGTGTGACTATTTTCTTTTCGGTAAAATTATTTTTTTGGCCATGAAGGGACAGCGGTATGCCGACGTAGAGGCCATCCAAAAGGTGCCGACGACCATTTTGAAGGACATCCCGCACGGAAATGTTTGTTCATTTTTTCTTTAAACTGCTTACGTTGCGACAGACCTTGTAAAATAAATTTTATGCTGGCCGAAATACATCAAAAATTGTATGACATACTTGGTTTCTATTTTCATATTCAAGTTACAAAATCATCTTCTACCAAACCGATCAGAAAGTTTTAGTGAATTTAACAATGAGTATACCATAGTTGTTCTACTAGGGGGCGTATATAATTTCAATTACAAATTGTAATAGCAATATAATTAACAAATCGGTATTTTAAAAAGGAATGTACGAATTTAATAAATTAAGTAATGATATCGAGATGTGTGCTAAAGGGAAATTAGAAAAATATTTCATTGAAAACCAGAATTCATGGTAGTGAAATTTTGTATAAAAATATGTAGAGCTAGTGCCACGATTTGACAAATGTTTAAATGTCCATGGTGGCCACATGTTTATATGTTAATATGCGGTACAATTTACGTTCATAAAGTTTCTCTGACTCCAATGCAAAACAGTTCCTACTTAACAAATAGCCCTCGTACATTTCGATAAAAAATATTCACTGGGTATCGTTTGAACCATTCATTGATTATACGTTTCACTGAATGCTAACACTCGCAAATCGTTGATGTATATTAAAATGTTTATTGGAGTTCCATACATACAAATATCGTTTTACACATCAAAGGCATCAGTCAGTAATTGAAAATTATTATATTGAGCTTATGAAAAAATGTTATCGCTAAATACAGTTACGTTGATGGATTGATTGAGGAATTGAAAGAAAAAAATGTACTACAAGTATACATTTCATCAGTTTTTTTGTGATTGAAAATGGTTTCGATGTGTATAATTTTTGAGACCAGTTAAATTTCCTGGAAAGCGCGCAAGGGCCACTCAAAGTTGTGGTATCTATGAGATATGTGCATTTAAGTATTTTCAGAATTTACTACTGGTCGATTCTGGTGATAGATGGCACTTTGCGCTCTCTTAATTTGCTATTTTTTATTTGACTACATGGTCGCAATAATTATTTCTTCAAATCACACATAAAACACACTAAGTTAGAAAGCAAATATAAAGATTAAAGTATTGCGCAACAAAATAAAAGCAAACGTTGAAACAAATGACAACACAACAATTATCATATAAATTCACCTGTTGTTTTTACTCCAAACGCAGTGGTATGGTTGGACAGTTTTTTGCAGAAAGGAACCAGCCCAGAAAAATAATTATTGAGCAATGAAGTTTTGACATTGATAACAAATTCATTTAAGATCAAACATAATTTTAATTAATGGGATACTAAAGGGTTTAAATATGTGTATGGATCTTTTTTACAGTAAATGGTATTACTTGTAATAGTTTTTTCCTAAAATCTAAATTTTTCATATTTAATGGGTTGGTTCCTTTCTGCAAAAAGCCGTCCAGTTGTAGTCACTGTTCTTGGCGGGTGAACGTGAGACTACCAGTATCCCTTTATATATCTCCATCTCCCTCATACTTACTCATACACTCGACCCCTGTGTGTGAACGTTTGTTTGGTAGGCTCAAAGACATACGTTTTCTAGTTCTGTGTCTCCGTCTCGACAATTTTGTCATTACGTATGAGTGCCCTTCAATCATATTTGTCAGAGTGACAACTTACTTGACATCGGCGTGCAATTTGAGTTGTCCTGTTATCTTCAATATAAAATTGTACAATGCCCGGAAATACGATCAATGGAGAAGGCCAGCAGCTCGTACTAAATGTATCAGGGTATTTCCAGGAAGAGAATGAAAATAGTGGTCCCCTGTTACCTACTTCATGCGTCCTGGAGAGAGTAGCAGATGCGCTGAAGGTACGATCTGTTTACTTATTTCATATGGCGATGATGACGTAACTGCCAAAACAACTATACAACGCTTTCATTGTATGTTTTCAATTAAAGTATGTTTTATTACATACAGATTTGAATTAAAAGGCGTGGCTAATAATCCCTGAACTTGTATGAAATGAATCCAGTTTCATTTAAATACTGATTTTTATGAAAAAAGTCATCTAAAATAAATCATTGATTTAAATCATGATGAAGAATGCATGAAAATGGATTCTATGGACAATAGATACAAATAAATTTGGAGAGTTAAAATGCAGAACGATAACTTACCGGATTCGTGAGAACGACCTTGCCGTCCCGCAACCTGATCACAATGCAGTTCTCGTTCTTAACTTGCACTAATTCCGGGCTGACTTCCTCGATTTGATCCATGAATACAAGTTCAGGCTTCGCTGAGTCGGGATGCAACTCTAATCGATTCGGATACAGTTTCGCATATCGCATCTGCCAGCTGCTAGTCCAGGGACCTCCTAGTTTCTTTACGTAGCCATGGAGAATGCAATCCGATTCTGAAACAGAGATTATTTAACACTAATATTATGCAGCACGAATATCATACGGACTGCAAATGGCCACACTGACTGTTGTGCAATTTATCAAAGTGTTCCAAGTCACAAAAACCGACAATTTATGTATAGCGGACAAAAGTTTGGAAACAAATATTAACATTATTATGAACTATTTCATATACCTAAATTAACATTGTGAAGGAACAGATAATTTAAAGATTAAAGTCTGCATTTGGCTCCCGTAGGTTTATCTTAGCAATATTCAAATTCTCTGAAAATAAAAACACGCGTTTTTTTTAAATACCACAGTTTTTGTAACAACAAAGGTATTGAAACATTTCGGTTTTGCCGTATTTATTCGTTCTGGGATACTCTGATATTGCGTGCGGTAAATATTAACATCAGTGAGATCGGCAAAAGTGAATGAATTTTCAAAATATTTAAGAAACAAAGTAATTGAATTATTTAGAAGTGGCGTCAGACATGTTGACATTTCTCAAAGATTAAAAATGGCAAAGGGATGATTTAGAAAATTATTAGTAAATATCAAGATTACGGATCAACGGCAACGCGGCCCAGGTACGGAATACCGAAAAAAAAACCGATTATATTTTGGATTAAACGTTTGTCCCATGAAGATTCGTCAATGCCAGCCACACAGAAGAGGGTACCGAGAATCTTTCTGTTTGAACAGCGCAGACACGCTTGGTGGATTTTGGGCTTTTTGGTAGGCGAGCAGTGCAGAAGCCTCTCATTTAAAAAAAAATTGCTAAAACTCACCTAACTTGGACAGAACAACAATGAAATGCAGTTTTATGGAGCGATGAAAGCAAATTTAACTTGTTTGGATCAGACGATACAGCATATGTGAGGCCCAATACGAAAAAGATACGACAAAAACTATCAGTTGCCAACAGTTAAGCACGTGGAGGCACAGTTTGGGGCTATTTTTCTAGTTCTGGGACGTGTCCAATTGTTAAAATTGTTGGGAAAATGGATCAAAAACTTTACAAAGATATTCTTACTGAACACATGCTCCTTTTTGCTGAAGAAGAAATGCCTTTACGATGGACATTCCAGCAAGATAATGACCCCAAAAACCTCAAAATTCGTAAAGGACTGGTTAAGACTAAAATATGTTAATGTTCTTACATGGCCTTAGCAATCCCCGGACCTACACCCTATAGAACATCTCTGGGAGCATGTTAAAAGACAACTGACGAGAAAAACTCTTACAAATAGGGACGATTTATTTGATTATGTAAAAAATATTTGGCAAAATATCCCCCCTGTAAAAAATTGGTGTCTTCTATGAGCAGCAGATGCCAGGCAGTGTTGAATGCTAAAGACTATGCTAGCAAATATTAACTAAGCAGTATTTTTCAAATCTTTTGGTAGAGTTATTGTATTTAATTTCGTAATAAAAAATTTGTTCCCATACTTTTGTCGTCTCATTTTGGCCATAAAATAATATGAAGGTATTTTAATGCTAGTATGTAGTACCACAGCAAACAAATCATTTGTATCCTCAAGACTGTAAGCAAACTATATGAAAAAAAACAGTCCCTAATAAAGAATACAAAATTAGCACACTTTTAAAAAATTACTAAGAATGTTTCCAAACTTTAGTCCGCTACTGTATAAATGTGAATCTCTGTTAGCATCACGTCTGAATCTCAGCAAGGAGAGACATAAGAATGTGAACATTACATTTGTGTACATAAACCCGAGGAAGGTTGTAGACTTGGTTTTATCCTCGAAAATAAACAGGGTGTAAAAATATGGATAGATCAAGATATCTTAAAAATACGTTTCATAGAGAAAAATTGTTGTAAATCAATGTCGTAAGGTTTGAAATGATTCGTTCATTAGTGATTTTAAACGTTGTTGACATTCAAGGCCATTTGAAGGCCAAGACAGGTTTCTTAAATCAAACACCTATTTTGACACCGGAAATGTTAATAGCAGGATATTTAATATTAAAGTATGCCTTTGCCAATGACCTTAACCTTAATGGGTACTTGAGGGTGTCCACGAAGTAGGAAAATGACAAAATATCTCGAAGAATACCTTCCATAAATAAAAAAGTTGTGTTATAAAGTTGTATATTTTGGAAAGGTTAATCTAATGGTGACCTTGAACATAACCTTGACTATAAGCTTCAAGCTCATGTGAAGGTCAGGACAGTTTTTTTAAATGGAACCCCTATTTTTTACACCGGAAATTTTAAAAAAAGAAACTTTCTGTTCAAGGATGTCCATGACCTTGACTATGGTCATCAAGGTCATTCGAAGATGTAATGAACTTTTAACGGGAAGCTGTCTATTTTTAGTTCCTAAGATACAAATTGCGGACAATTTTAATATCGAGTATATCCTTGCCAGTAAACCTAACCACGACCTTCAACGTCACTGTAAGATCAGATAAATTTTTAAGTAAAATCCTCACTTTTTGTCGAGGATATAAAAAAGCGAAATATTGAAATAAATATTGTGAAAAATGTACATTGCCAAAGTTACTATTGCATTACCTTCAATATTGCATTTCTTTTTGGGAAACCAATCTCGTTCACACTAATGCGACACGAATGTACTTTATATACTGAACAAAATGAAAGCGGATTCCGCGTAAAATCATTCATCAAATGTAGGTTGAAATTGAGTCCAGGCAACAATTCAAGCTACTATGTCTTTTATAAATTCGCACCATAGTAAAAACATTTAAATTTCATCGTCAGTTGATCAAAATAAAAATACCTTTTTCATCTATGTCATACAACTTTTTCTGTTTGGCCCTTTTCTTGTGCTCAGTTTTGTCAGCTTCAAAGTTCACAGTTTCGAATACTGTTTCCGCCACTTCATTCTGCCACCGTTCTGATATCACAAGGGGGAAGTTTTTGTAGAGTTCTTGATCCGCATCTGTCAACTGCAAAAAAAAAATCATTGAATATGTGTACTGACTCAAGAATTAGTTAGTCCCTATTCTAAAGTGTAGTGATCTGTTGGTCAACCCTAGATTCATTTGGATATTTAAACACGAGAAACATAAAAAATACCTTGATTCCTTTGGTGTCCTCTTCATCAAAAGAACCAATATCAAAAGCATCAGCCGCATTTACCTCTCCTCTAGGGGGTATAAGAGGAGGGGTGTATTTTTGCAGGTACACTTGTTGCCAGTCAATTCCGGCAAAAAATGGATGTTCCTTCACTTCGTCCGATCTGAAAGACACAAAACCTTATCCACACAAGATTTTCGAAAGGTCACTACAAATCTTCTAAAATCCCATTTTAAATAGGGTGTTATACGAGGTTTGCCCGGAAAATACATCGTGTTAAGGTGGTTCCTCTCTCTGCGAGTAACTAGGATTTACGTGTGCTTGTTGGAACTAGCCCATTTTTATCTGCCGTCGGCATGGAGCTCTCTCTGATCGAGGTACAGCGCATCAGCATCCAGTTTCTTGCAAACCTAGGCATGAGTGGTCGTGAGATTTTTGAGTGTTTGGAACAAGTTTACGGACACAATTCTCTGAAGGAACCAGCCGTTGAAAAGCTTTCAGGAAGGCCAAGAATATGTGAAACATGACCGCAAACAATGGTCCACGAAATTCTAACAGAAAAACTTTCATGAAAAAATTGTGTGCGAAAATCGTCCCGAAGCTCTTGACTCCCAGAACAGAAAGCAAGGAGGGTTGCTTGCTGTGAGGACTGGTTGGAAGCAGAGGAAAGGGGGACCTTCTCAACCGGGTCATCACTGGAGATGAGTCTCGGTTCTACGAATTCGATGTGGAGTTGAAATCTCAAAGCATGGAGCGGAAGCAAGCAGAGGAACAGAGAACAAAAGAAAAAGAAAAAATCAAGGTCCAATGTGAATACAATTTTGATTGTTTTCTTTGATTTTCTGGGCATTGTTCACCAGGAGTTTGTTCCTCCCAGCCAGACAGTGAACGGAAATTTCTACATTGAAGTTTTGCGTCCCCAGTTCGACCGGATTTGGCACAAGAGGGAGTTGGATCCTTCATCACGACAACGCGCCACGCCACGTCTCTCGTTGTGCGCGAGTTTTCGACCCGAATCTCAATCACCGTGACACAACACCCGCTCAATTTAGCACCTTGCAACTTCTTCCTGTTCCCAAAATGCGAAATGGTGCTTCGAAGGTGGCACTTGGGGGATGTAGAAGCTATGAAGGCAGAAACGACACGGCAAAGAAGAGCCTCACAATTGAAGACTTTCAGCGATCGTATCAACAGTGGAAACGGCGTTGGCAGAGGTGCATCTTGTCTCAGGGGAAGGAAACCATTTTGAAATAAATGAACAATTGTAAACTTTTATACGTATTTTCCGGACAAACCTGGTATCAACCCCTAGGAGGTTTAGACAGAGCTTTCAACGGAAATTCATAAGGCATAATTTGTTTATTATTAGAAAAATAATCTTACCCTTGTCCTTTACAGCCCAATCTCTTATCTATATCCCTCTGCAGTAGTCCCTCTAATAATGATTTTAATTCTTTACTAAATGAGTCTGGTAATTCTACGTTCTGAAAAGGAAAATTATAGTTAAAAAATGCTGCTCGGAAATAAAAAAACATCAGGATAAATCCGTTACTATTATTTACTAGTGAAACTTTTTCGAGAAGCTTAAAAACAAAGTATTAAAGTTTCGGAGATATTTGACCAAAACAATGACTTACCATAGTTAATGTCATCCTATCGATCTCATGTTTGTCTTTGGTCTTATGTTGGCGAAAAGGCGAATGGCCTTTCAACAATTTGTACAACATACAACCGAAACTGAACCAATCTGCGCTCGAATCGTACGCAGTGCCTTTTGATAATACTTCAGGTGCCATATAACCATGAGTTCCTCTGAAACATAAAAACAAAATTAGTTAAAATATATTCTCCCCAACCCTTACAACTCCCAACTCAGGAACCCCTGAGAGATTGGAAAACAAAGTTTGAGCACCATCTATTTTTTCCATGTTTGACCTTAGGTCTAGTAACCTTATGTGAAAATTTTATCAAAATCCGAGAGGCAATCTCCAGGTTATAAATGGGCCAAGAATTAAAGGGCAGACAGACCAACCGAAATGAGTGACATGGTTTTTCGTGAGGTACATCATATTGTAGCAAGAATGAATGGTACTACTAGCGCCATCTGTTGGCAACATCGTCAGGGACTCTCCTTCGGCATCGAAGCGAGGTGCGAGACTGACCCCGAAGGTTCTGGAGTGGCCGCTATTCACACCCAATAGAAACCAGAAAAACGCTACAATATCTTGTAGTTACAGTGGCAAAGTATATAATTTTGGAGAGGTCAATTTGTCTATTTGGGATCAACATTCACAAGAAAACCGGACACAAGGGAAGAAATCAAAGCAAGACTGGGGAAGGGAAATAGATGTTTATATAGGATCTTAGGGAAATAATATTTGTAACTTTAAGAGGATTATTCTAAGTAAAAAGTTCACGATAACTTATGTGCGAAAATCAATCGTTTTCGAGGAAAGTGAGTCGTAAATAATTAAATTTTCTCAAACATTTGGCAACGCTGCAACGCAAGCGTGATACGAGCACGCGACGACCGCAACTGATTCATCGAATTGTTTACGTTTGTATGATATTTTTGTTGAAAATATGCCTCGAATTATTGAATACTTTTACGCAATTTTTTGCAGCTAATATTTTTTATTCAATTACGCTTTCAGTACATTACATTTGCTTAAAAAAATGACAGAAGTTACCGGTATGTGGCGATACGCACCACCAATTCCCACGATTATCAGTCACTTATTTGAATGCGATGCGGTGCACGAAAAAAGAAAAAAAAACATCCGTAAATCACATAAAGTTACAGTTAAATGTATTAGTAATCACAACAACACGCGATGATACATGCGGAGTACGACGTTGCCAGTTGTGTGAGGGATTTTGTTTGTCTGTTTTTCTTCGGAAAATTGTATTTAATAAGCAAGAAAATTATTTTGTTAGAGACAATTAATAAATAGATGTATTGATACATTTTACGCTATTAGGTATATGAATTTAAATTATTAAGGTGCAAAATTAATTTACTTCATTACTAAAAAGAATCAAATTCAGCATTTTTTTGCTCCGAAATGGTCGATTTTCGGACATCAACGTTTTTGCTTAGAATAATACAAGGAATCACCTCATAAAGTTACGAATATTATTTCCCTAACACCCTGTATAGCCTAAACCATTACCTAAAAAGCAAGTTGATGAGTAATAAACTAAAAATTAGATTAAATAAAACAGTAATAAGATCATCAGGTACATTTGCTCGTGAAATATGGGTCTCGTGGAAGGCAGATATAAATATCCTCGAGCTGTGGGAAAGAAAGGTATTAAGGAAAATTTTTGGAGGGAACTGAACAATGGTGTATAGGAAAGAAGAACAAACCAAGAGCTTGCAGGTATGTATAAAGAATCAAGTATCACAGGATATATAGAGAACAAAGGTTTAGGGCAGGTTAAAAGGATGGCAGAAAATAGGCTTCCAAAATAGTTGTTAGCAGAAGCATAGGAGGCAAGAAGAGGACAGGGAAACCGAAGGAAAGGTGGAAGAGCGAAGTAGAAGCAGATCTGAGAAGCTTTGGTCTACAAAACTGGAAATTCATGAGTTAAAGTAAGAAGAAATGGAAAGAAATGACAAATAAAGCCTTGGGCCTTCTAGGCCTGTAGGGCTATGTATATACATCATATCTTAATTTATAAATGTTCGTGATTACAATACTTCCTCGCCAGTAGCATGGACAGTAGCAAACTGAACATCTTAGTACGGTTACATAATTCTGATGTACTCCTTCATCCAAAACGATCCATACATGAACTTGAACTATAATTTTTACGTAAGGTCGTTGAGAAATTGCACTTCTCAACCCCAGAGAATCTATTGGGACACAGTGTGTACTACACACACTCTATGTTCTAGTAGTGTCAGCTGTTTTATCATCAACGTTGAAAAAAGTAATTTATAGTATGAATACTTACACGCTAGCATGGGGTTTCTTTTTAGAAAAATCACAGGCTAATCCTAAGTCCGATATCCGAACATGACCGTGTTCGTCTAATAGTATATTTGCAGGTTTTAAATCCCTATATACAATATATCTCCTATGCATATGTTCTAAACCTGGAAAAAATTAAAAATATTATTTAGTTTGTCCCATTCAGGTCGCACCCCCATTTGTGACCCTCCTGGTATATGTTGGGGAATACGCTGGGACACGTCAATTTTGATTTCTAGGGAGACGTATTTTCATTTATAGCCGTGCAATACAGGGTGATCCAAAATTAAAATATTGTGTTACACTTTAGATTTTCAAATGGAAACCCCTATTTTTTTAATTTTCAGATTTTGCTATGAAGTTTTTAGTAACTTTTGTATAATAAAGTTTATAGCTATCCTCAATCTTTGTGAAGCTGTTTGAGTTGTTTATAATAAAATTCTACTAATTTAATACTGATAAGAATGGAATACTAACCAGCAAGTACATATACCATTAGTCAGTCATCGTATGTCATAGAAAAACTTCGTCTTTCATTTCACATTGTTAAGACCCGTATCGTCAGTCGTCCCTACTATTGTAGGGCGCGTTTATGGCCTCCTTGATTGTCATACTCCTTTCTCTCCTTCAAAAAATTCTAGATTACACTTGTCTCGTGTCAGCGTCAGCGCTCTCCTATTGTGAAGATATGTCTTCTTTTTAAATTGTAGGAAATTTCAGGCTGATAAAACATGATATAACTCAAAAGCAAGCACAATTTGATGCAAATAGATGTTTGTGACATAACCTCAAAATAGATTTCTGACACGAAGCCTTAGGCCTACAATTGTAGGGCGCCTTTATGGCCTTCTTGATTGTCATAGTTTTTTACTTCTCCGTGTCAGCGCTCTATTTTGAGGTTATGCCACAAACATCTATTTGCATCAAATTGTGCTTGATTTTGAGTTATATCATGTTTTATCAGCCTGAAATTTCCTACAATTTAAAAAGAAAACATATCTTCACAATAGGAGAGCGCTGACGCTGACACGGGACAAGTGTAATCTAGAAATTTTTGAAGGAGAGAAAGGAGTATGACGATCAAGGAGGCCATAAACGCGCCCTACAATTGTAGGGACGACTGACGATACGGGCCTAAGTTACTTACCTAGTAATGATAACTATTGAACAATGACTTATTTAATTCAAGAAAGGGTAGAAATAACAAAACTGTATTACCAAAATAGGAGCATTGCAAGAGCTACTACCCGATTGTTTAATGCGTTACATCCAGAAAAAAATATTAATCATAAGTATGTGGGTTGATAAGAAAATTTGAAGAAACTGGATCTGTGTCTAATATTCGACCATTTAGAAACGAAACCGCAGAAATAGCAGTTTTGGGACAAGTGGCACTTGACAACACCCAAAGCACTCGTGGACTGGCTACTTCTTCAGGATGTTCACGCTCAACAGTACCAAGAATTTTTAAACACAATAAATTTCACCCGTACAAGATGAAAATGGTCCATGAAATGAAGACGATTTGATAGAAAAAGTTTTGTGAATTGATGTCCCAACGTTTAATCAACAATGTAAATCTGTTATTTAATATTTTTTTCTCGGATGAGTGTACGTTCTATTTACATGGTGCTGTAGCTAGATATAATTGTCGATATTGGAGTGACTCGAATCCACACTTGTTTCAAGAGGTACACTTGCAATATCCTGAAAAATAAGTCGAGTGGTCGCCGAGATCTTCGGACCTAAGTCATTTAGATTACTTTCTTTGGGGGCATTTGAAAAGTAAAGTTTTTATTACGAAGCCAGATTCCATTCAAGATGATCATCACAATTTCTAGAATTTTATTATAAATTCAAATAGCTTCACAACGATGGAAGATAGGTATAAAATTTATTATACAAAACTAAAAATTAAAAAAATTGAGGTTTCCATTTAAAAATATAAAGTGTAACGCAATATCTTATTCTTGGATCACCCTGTATTGTACGGCTATAAATGAAAAAACGTCCCCCTAGAAATCAAAATTGATGTGGTCGAGCGTTTTCCCCAAAATAGGAGAGTCACAAATAGGGGTGCGACCTTGTCATCCACCAACCGTGTTTCATGCTTATGGGCAATAATCAGCACGGTATAGGCTTGGTCTCTAGGTAGGACAACGAAGGAAAGCAGGGCGAACTATCATCTATTAGAGGTATGAGGTCTAACAAGATACGTCAGCAAGTCAAATGGTCGATTCTGGTAATGCTGACCGAACGTGTATTTTTGGCAGAATGTATTTCCGATCTTACCTAATATGACCTCGGCAGCATAGAACTTCATCTCTGTCTCGTTGAAGACGCCGTGCTGCGAGAGGTGGTAGTGCAGATCGCCGCCGTTCATCAGGTCCAGGATAAAGCAGAGTTTGTCGGGCGTGTGGAAGGCATACGTCATACATACTATAAAGGGACAGTCTTGACCGGTGCTCACCAAGGATAACATTATCCTCTCGTTCAGCGCTAGCGTTTCGCCTACAAAGAAAATGACTCAGTACTATCCAAACATTATTTTAAATCTATTTAAAATTCAGTTTAGGTCTTTTCATGGTTTTTGGCGGGTTGCAGGTAGAACTACAGGAATTACTTTCATATATCCATCTCTCTTACACATACATATGCAACTGATCTATATGCATCGGAGTTTGTTTGTGTAAACTCAAAGAAATACGCTTTATAGCTTTGCCATGAGCGTGTGACTTGTGTTTACCTATGTAGATAAGGGTGTTCAGAGAGGGACGCTCGATGTTTGAACGGCGCGCGCGCCCAAACCGGTGGAGATACAGCTGTCAAATTTTGTGAGGTTATTAAGTTAGTCTTGACATTTAATCATGGAGCAGTACACGATTCAACAACGCGTGGAAATTGTGAAAATTTATCATCAAAACAGATGTTCGGTTCGTGAAACGTTCCGCGCATTGCGTCCAATTTATGGTGCGCATGGCCGTCCTGCTGAGTCCACTATTCGACGTCTGCTCAATAAATTTGAGAGAACTGGCTCAGTGGCAGACCAAACAACACCCGTACGGCAACGAACAGTAAGAACAATCGATAATATTGCTGCTGTGCGAGAGAGCGTGCGTCAAGACCCGAATCAGTCATTGCGGAGACGTGCACAAGAACTTGCCCTTCCAAAGACCTCAACATGGACAATTATGCGTCGAGACTTGAAATTGCACGCGTACAAAATTCAATTGACGCAAGAATTGAAACCGCAAGACCATGGACAGCGCCGTACATTTGCCGCATGGGCTCTAGAGCAGTTGCAAGTCGACCCTGCATTTTCAGCGACGAGGCGCATTTTTGGATGAATGGGTATGTCAATAAACAGAATTGCCGTATATGGGCTGACCAAAATCCTGAAGTGACTTGCTCAATTGCTATGCATCCTGCTAAAGTGACTGTATGGTGCGGTTTCTGGGCTGGCGGCGTAATCGGTCCATATTTTTTTGAGGACGCTATGCGCAACGCGCTTACGGTCAATGGAGATCGGTATCGCGCCATGATTAATGATTTCCTGTGGCCTCAACTGGACGATATGGATCTAACAGACATCTGGTTCCAGCAGGACGGCGCTACGTGCCACACCGCACGCGCAACGCTGGATTTACTGCATGAAAAGTTCAACGGTTTCATTATTTCGCGCGGCGGCGATGTGCACTGGCCACCAAGATCGTGCGATATAACGCCTTTAGACTTTTTCCTGTGGGGCTACGTGAAGTCTCAAGTGTATGCGGATAAGCCACAAACAATTGCAGCATTAAGGGCCAACATCATTCGCGTCCTCGGACAGGTAGACGCTGAAATGTGCGGAAAAGTGCTCGAAAATTGGACCATGCGAATGCACGCTGTACAGCGCAGTCGCGGTGGCCATTTAAACGATATAATCTTCCATACATAATGTCGTCGAATGCTATTTACGATCAATATAGACTTTTAGTGCTGACTTAAATTTTTTTCCTTTTTTTTCCATTTTAACTTTCGAGCGTCCTTATCTAAACACCCCTTACAACTACACTGTTGACAATCTGTATTATCAGAAAGAGAGTAAAAATAACGGTCCTCTTATCACGTGCCAAAATCACGTAACCTTTTTTTTACTTACCAGTAATTTGAATTTCTCTTTATTATTGGTAGAGTGCCGATTCCTAGGACAAACCCTTTTCAATGATTTTCTGTTGGCAAATTTCATAGTTTATTGATTGCATAATTTCACACGTATTATATTTTTCTTTCTCAGCGATTCAGTATTGTGTTAAAATCTTTTGGACACTAACGTTATAGTATTATTAAAGACTATCTCAGGAATTTCCTCATAAAATACCGTTGGTCCCTCGTACAGTTGGTTCCACCCATCGGTAACCAGCGCCACCGTATGATTTCTTTACGTACTAGCCGTATACAGATATTTGGTTCTATCTTCCTTCTTTTAAAATTTGATGTCTTATCAAGATACCTTTTTTACCTATCGAGACACCTTCTTTTCCTATCAAGATACCTTGTTCTAAAAACTTGACTGTACAGACGCGTCCAGAACCATTTTTCTTTTCTTTCTGCTGAGGTTTGGTTGTGCATGGGTCGCTTCGTTAGCTTCCAGATTCTGGGGGATTTAGACCCATAAATACCAGATTATGGAGTAGTATATTTTATTAGGTACCTCACGTTTAGTTGTTTTGGTTTGGATGCTACTCCGTCCATCTTCTAATGGGATTTTAACCTTCAGCGGTAAGTTCTTTTTTCTATACCATCTGACCAAGTCCATTATCTGCTTCCTTTTAGTGGAAAGGCATTGCGGAGAATCACCATTCACACTCCTTCAGCTTTGTTTTGTAGCTGCCTTGTAGCTGTATCGCAGCCGATTTTGCTAGAAGCTACCCCTTCCCCTTGTCAAAAAACCCTGATGTGAACAGGTAAAATATCATTTTAATTGGGTATTTCGTAGATATTTATATACTGATTATTGCTGACTGAAGTTCTTAGTGTTCTTGATTTTGTTTGGCATTTTTTTTGCTTACTACAATACATTGATCATGATTTTGATTTTTAACTTTATTTAAGAACAATTGATGAATTTATGACGGTATATCACTTTCGTAAATTTTTATCTTTTCTTGTCCTTGCTTTACTTTTCTTGTAAAAGATAATGTATAGTCAACGCCAAACAAAGTGGCGTGCACGTCATCACGATAAAAATTCCCCGACCTAATGCCTAGGTTTCTATCACAAACAATTGCTCTATTGCAGTTTCATATTAATGTGATATATAAATTGTAAAATGGTCATTACTCTCTTATTATGGTTAATAGTCATATAAACATTGTTATTAAAATATCACATAAGTTGCTTTCTGATAAATTTAGACGCATTATGCGAAATAAAATGTTTTGCAAACGCTCCAATCACTTATCGACATGTAAACGCACTAAACCGATTTCGCAGCGTTGACACATTGTCACCTTGAAACTTATTTAAACTGGGAACTGACATTTGTATTAATTTTGACACTGAATCAATTTGTACATTGTGCATTATTTTTTATCTCGTCATTTAAATTTTAGGGAAATTTGTTTTGCGATATCCAGTACAAAATACAACAGTGCCAACATACGAGGAACTCAGTACATTCAGAATTGGCGGGTACGATCGCTCCTTAATCTCTCCTGACGAGACTTTTCCCAGTTCCGCTACCTTATGGCAGCCGCAGTGCCTAAAAAAAATCTTACCTTGCTTCATTTTTATCCTCTTCTTATCGAGACACTTCATCGCATACATCTTCCCCGTATCGGCTTTTCTGCAGCCGTATACTTCCCCGAAACCGCCCCTTCCTATTATCCTATGCACGCTGAAGTCGTTCATTGTTAACTGAAATCATACCAATTAGTCGATCTCAATATTCCGGGAAACGAGGATGTATTCCGGCAAAAATAAATATTGGAGCTAGCCCCCTCAAACCGTTAATGATGTTTAGACCGGGATCCCAAGAGGACGAGGAGAAAATCGCGCAATCGTGGGAGTAGCTTTCCAACTCGATTTTGTTTTTCGTAATTGATTTTGTTGGATGAATCGAGTTGTTGCCGGGCGACAAGCTGGTGCAATCAGAGTTTATAAGTAGGGTTTTAGGCTTTGAAAATAAATCGTTCGCATCTAAAAGGTTCCTTCATCCAAATATTAATGATATAGGTACATACATATTTTAAGCTTTCGATAACATTTCTTTGAAAGCACAGTTGTATCTAATCATTTTTTCTTTATTTATTTTTTTATTCATGTGTATACGAGGTTTGTAAATTAAATGATCAGACTGGCAACGTAGCGTTCGATCTGGCACCTCTGGAGGCGGCTGGCTTGGACGGACAGGGTTGCCAGGCGTGCCGATTTTTCGACAAATTGGCGATTTGACAGCTTCAAATGGCGAGTAAAATGCTAGCTTGGCTATTTACTACTTTTGTGGCGCCCAGTATCCAGGTAATTGTCGATACGTGGCGATTTTTAACATTCCTGACGCCAATTAATTTGTAATCAATTTTCGCTAATAAATATTTGATTAGATTAATGAAACATGAAACGAGGACCAGCCGAAGTTCTGTTCTCTAAGCATAATGGCGTTTGTGGTCAAACGTCAAAGGTGTCGTGTTCCGTCAAGGCATTAGAAGGAGTCTCATTACTTAATTTACAGACCTCGTAAGTATTGCTATCTCCTTAGGATAATTCGGGGATGAGTTTAAGTATCTTTTGCCTAGATTTTCTTATTTAAGTTGTTAATGAATAGGGTGGCCAATATATAACTGATTTGAATTGCGCGCCCTTTTTGATATAGGCATTTCAGTAGGTGGCGCCGTAGCAGTTGTTTAAAGCACATGTGTGCAATTCGTCATGGAGCGCTACACGATCCCACAATACGTCCGTATTGTTAAAACGTTTTACTTAAATAATGAGTCCATTGTTGCAACGATTGCAAGAGGGCTCCGGTTTGCGCTGCTTCTAGGGCCGGACATTTGTCTGATATTATTTTTCATACATAATTTCTGATTTTCAATAAAATATTACGATGAAAAAATGGACGTATTTTATTTCATTTCACAAATATTCAAGATACAACTAACAGGCTACATATCGGCCACCCTATATATGTCGATGTTTTTGAACATTTTTTTGTAGAGCCCTGAAGGAAATAGATTTTTCCGAAACATCGGCAACGTTATAACAGGAAACTGTGTTTCTTCAGACCACCAAATTCCAATTCATTCTAATAAATTTTTATAAAAAGAGCCATTAAAAGCATAATCTTATATACAAAATATATATCTTCAAATACCTTTTTTCGATTTACGTCGCATCAACATGGAAGTATTGTTTCTCTCTATTTTTTATATTGCTGAGTTAATCATTATCCATTGAGTTTGAGTTTGATTAAACTCTGGTCAAACGACCTTGCAAGGAACCAGGCTCAATACAAGGCCGATATACTAAATCGGTCATAAAGGTAACATTTTCATTAAAATGCTCATATTTCTCAAACTTCAGAAAAAGGTTCTTATTATAATGAAACGTTAAATACAATAATACTCGTATATTCCCATGAAAAATGCTCCACGAACATTACTTATCGTAAAATTAAAAATGTACATCTTCGTAAAAACTTATAATCCTTATAATGGAATAAAAAAAAATTGAAGGCGATTAAAGTGGCCTGCTATGGGCCCTTTCCTTGCAAGGCCCAAATGTTCCAGATGACCTAAACAAATCTACAATTTAGTAAATATTGAGGTGGTACAATATATCCCTAGAACTATAGTCAACGCCAAACAAAGTGGCGTGCACGTCATCACGATAAAAATTCCCCGACCTAATGCCTAGGTTTCTATCACAAACAATTGCTCTATTGCAGTTTCATATTAATGTGATATATAAATTGTAAAATGGTCATTACTCTCTTATTATGGTTAATAGTCATATAAACATTGTTATTAAAATATCACATAAGTTGCTTTCTGATAAATTTAGACGCATTATGCGAAATAAAATGTTTTGCAAACGCTCCAATCACTTATCGACATGTAAACGCACTAAACCGATTTCGCAGCGTTGACACATTGTCACCTTGAAAATTATTTAAACTGGGAACTGACATTTGTATGAATTTTGACACTGAATCAATTTGTGGCATTTCAAATCTTTATAAATCCTTTGGCCCCGCATACTGTAAATCAACAACTGTTTGTTTCAAAACAAAATTATTCATTTTACGAGTAGATAAAGGCAATTTTGGTATATAAAGATGCCCAAACAGTTAAATAGTCGGTGTAAGGAACTCGTGGCCTCGTTAATGCACTACTTTGAGCAAGAAAGGGACAACAACGGGCCTTTGTTGCCTTTAAATGCTGTTCAAGAGGTAGGTTACTAATAATTATATGTAATGTATATTAATAATAGTGAAATTTTATTTCATTTTTTGTAGCGTGTTGCTGCTGCTTTAAAAATTAGTTTAAGGACAGTTAGTCGTATTTCCGAGGGTGTGAAAAGTGATGCAAATTTAGAATCGCCCAAGAAAAAGCGGAGTTATATTAAACGTGTAACCAACACAGCGACATTGGATACAAGTGCCATTCGAGAAGTGATCTATAATATGTATCACAAAAGTAAGATCTTATTATAATAACTTATCAGAAATTTGCATTAATTTGTTAACTAAATTATAATGTCATATTACACATGGTTTCAGAAGAACAAGTTACGATACAAACTTTATGGTCTCGATTAAGAGATAGGGCATTATTTGATGGTAGTGCCACGTCTTTAAGGCGGTTGCTTAGAGATCTTGGATTTAAGTGGCTTAAGGACAATCCGCGACGAGGGCTCATGGAACTACCAAGTATAGCTTTGAAAAGGGTGGAATTTCTAAGGCAATACAATCAAGCCAAGGTTGAGGCCTTATACCAGTTTGTCTTCCTCGATGAAACTTGGATATTTCAAAATGGGACCATAGGTCGCTCTTGGCAAAATGGAAACCAAAAAAGCGTGAAAGCTATTAAAACAGATGGTAAAAGGTATGTACTTTTACACAATTTGCACTATAAAATTTAAAACTAATATATTTTAGATTCATTATATTACATGCTGGAAATGAAAATGGGTTTATTGAGGGTAGTGAAGCGATATTTTCTTCGAAAACAAAATTGAGCGATTACCATGGAGAGATGAAGCAGGACAATTTTTTGAAATGGTTTCAACATCAGTTATTAGAAAAATTAGAGAGTCCATCTATGATTATACTGGATAACGCCCAACAATGCATGGACAAAAAAAAATATCCAAGACTGGTTGACAAATCAAAACATACCATTTTTAAACACAATGTTTAAAACAGAGCTATTGAGTATTGTTGCTCGGTACATAATGGTTCTTAATTATATATATTTTGGTCGACAGTTTATATTTCTTTTGTTTATTCCTATTCTTAAAATAACTGCTTTTTTTAGAAACAAACTACCTAAAATATACGTGATTGATGAATTGGCGGAACAACATGGGCACAAAGTTCTTCGTCTGCCTCCTTACCATTGTATATTTAACCCTATTGAGTTAATTTGGGGCATAGCAAAAGGTTACTATAACAGACATATTGGTAGAGATGGTAACAGTGAAAAAGACTGTTTGGATATGTGAAACGAGGCTCTACAAACGGTTACCCCAGACATGTGGAAAAATAGTGTTCGACATACTGAGCAAGAAATTTTTAAATGGTATGAAAGAGAACGAATTTTTGATCGACCAGACATCGAACCTTTAATAATCAACTTTGAGAGTGATGAAGATTCAGATTCAGACAGCGCTGAAGAAAGAAACTCCGACTATTGTACAGAAAAAGCTTACACCAGTAGCTTACCTAATTTTAGAATGCATTTTTCTGTATGAATTCTGTAAAATAAATACCATGCATAAAATTTGGAGGACCCCATTTGGATTTTTATTCAGTACCTTTAAGCTATCAATTAAATATGGTAGTTTCATAGTGTCATCTGATCAATAATTGTCATACTTAATGATTATGCAAGTACAGATCTATAATTTTATTATACTATTATTTTTGTTCTCATTTGAGGTTAATATTGCTTATAAACCTAGATATGTAAATAATAAATTTTATTATTTTACAAAAAGTTTGGCAACAATGTAAATTTTTCAACACACCCACCTTGATGACGTGCACGCCACTTTGTTTGGCGTTGACTATAAGAACTAAGTATTAATATTTTCTTGATTCCTGAATGTAATAATAAATCCTTTGCGCCCTAGCAAGGTCAACTGTCAATTACAAGGAACCATATGCTTTTCCAGGAACAACGATATTTTAGCTAAAGCGATCATTTTTTCTGCAGTGCCAAACCAGATACTTCCGAGAAAAAAAAACGAACAGTCTATTTACTAAAAAACATACGTTTTGCTGTGAGCTCTTGTTATAATTTTAACGTCGACGACAAAAGTCAATAAAGCGAGGGACCGTATTGACAGAAAAACGAAGCGAAAGAACCGTCGCCGCGTGTGTGTTCTCGACTTCGATGATTGTTTTGTTAGTAGACGGAGTTTGCCATCGCGTGCGAACAACAATAACTTTTTAATAAGCCTCACAAAAGGCATAGTCTTCCATTGTGCACCCACTTTACTTTCCTCTGAAAAGCACACTCAATATATACTAAGTGACAAATAAATCCGAACACCCAGTTTAAATGGTTTTATTTTAATAAAAGTTGGTAAATGTATTTATTTTACTGTAAATAACAAGTGAAAAAATTTTCAGCCTTATCAGTTGGACATTCCGGTTTTTATACTGCTTTTTTTAATTCACTAACGCTCTAAAAATG